GGAGAGGGGAGGGAGGAAGCAGATGCTTGACCTGCCCACACCACCTGCCTTCCTGTAGCAGTGCAGGGCATGAATTAAAGATGACCCCACAGTAATTAGATTTTATACATGGAAAATGATAACAAATATATAAACTTTTAATGTATAGAATCTAATTATGGGGGAGGTCATCTTAAATTCAGGGTCAACTTTGATTCCAGTAAATACTATAATTTCCTTGTAGGTTGTTCTTTGATGCTTATCTCTTGTTTTATCAAAAGTCTTTACAAACGTTCATTACATTCAAAGTTCCTGGTGCCTGCAGGGTTGTGATTATCCCCAAGGAAAAGGGGATTGGAATATTATTCCTAAAGGGAAAGGGGAAAGGAAACTGAGGCCTGTGGAGATTAAGGCCAAAAGTAAACACTAATTCTGGGTGGCACATTTGCACAATACGTGTCATTCAATAGCACTATGTTCAAATCCCAGGTCCCACTGTGTTCAATTTCTCTGGAGACTGCTTAGTACTTCTATGAGTCAGACCCTCAAGTGCCATTCAGACATCCAGAAAATGAGGAACACACAATTAGTGACAACCAGTGAAAAGTTTTGGTGGCCCTTCATTATATACCAGACTGGCTCCAAAGAGGGACTTAGGAACTTAGGTGCCTAAGTCCTAAATTGTGACTCCCGAAGCCCCTACTCAGCTGCTGTGTAACATTAGAGTCAATTTGTCCAAACTGCATTAGTTTTTAATAGCCTAAAGTTCCTCAATAGCTTAAAATTCTTTGCAAGCCCGTAAGCGCCTCAAGTCTTCATAGTGCTGAGCAACAAGCCAGGTATGAACTCCACTCTAAGCTCCTATGAAGATTTACAAATGAGGCATTCATCTACCTATTTTGTCTTAGAGGCTAAATAGTTGTTGGCACAGCAAAGCTAGCAGCAATAGTTCCATAGAAAAGCAAACTTTTTCATAACAACAGTATATGCAATGGCTCAGTGGTTAGACCACTCATGCACTATGCGGGAGACCTGAGTCCAGTACTTCTCTTAGTCTCAGGTGGTTCAAATCCATATCTTCCACTAACTAGGAGAGGCCCCTCAGTTGCAGAAATGACCAGGATTTAAGACACACTTCTTATGCCTGCACTTAACTGGCTTAGCTAGATTACAGCTCAGCATACTAGTTTTTATGGATTTTATTCTGAGATTTCTTTTTTCATGCATTGTACAGGAAGCCTAGATGCCTAAAAGTTAGGTATTGCAACAATCCTCAGGCATGCCCCGTCGCATGCCCTGAATGAAGGAGTGGGCCTTTTGAAAAAAATGTGTATGATTATGCAAGTTAAAGACTACTATAATGCAAACACGCAAGGGAAACCGAATTAAGAATACACAGCAGCCCCAATTCTGGCATTTCCTAGTTGTTGAGTGCTGTACTCTGTAACTTTAAAGATGGACTTTTTATGAGGTTATGTGTGGCTGTTTTTTAAGGCTAGGAAGTTAAACAAACAAAACAGCACATTTGGAAAGATAAATCCCTAACATGTAGCATCATATTAGCACCTACCTAGGATGTCAGCAGGGTTGATTCTCCATGCAGACCTCTGTCACTTGAATTAATGGCATAGACAATAGCAGTTGTAGGTTATTTTCCATTGTGGATTGACACTAGGGGAAGTTGAGACACTTTGCTAGTGGGTTTTATATATTAGTTGAAGACTGAGACTTGGAAAGCCTGGGTTCCCATAGCAGGGCCTGGTGTGGAATTTTTTCTGCTGGCACAAGCTCTTCCAGCCATTACCGTGGCCTCTTCTCCACCTCCCACTCCCAGGATTCTTACCCAGCCAGTCATACCCCCATCCTGGCTTCTTGCCCTATTCTCTCTCCTTTCCCCTTAGCTTGCAACAATTTACCTAGAGGGCAATGTTCCTGTTGCCATTCCTAGCTGCTCTCAGCTCACACCTCCCTTCCAAGGCTCCTTGCATGAATGACGTGTGCTCCCAATGGCTGGGGGGGGGGGGGGGGCGGGGGCAAAAGGG